CCCCACCCCCCCCCCCCCCCCCCGGTCAAGGCAAAGGCACAGTCAAAGCGCAGTGCGCGGGACCTCCTCGACTCCTTCACATCTTACTCAACGAGAAGAAATGAAAAACTCCGAAATCCCCCCCCCTCCCCCGAGACGTGTGCGCGTGTTAGTTGTGGCCTGGTTGTGGTGTGTGCTGCATCGTCACGTGGTTGTGTTTGGCCAGCAGCTCACACACCTGCCGGGCGCTACTCTGACAGTGCCGGTCCAACTGTTGGAGCCTACAAAACACACACACACACACACAGATTATTGACTAACATGCGAAGTATGTTGGCAAAGAAGGCAACACGAGTCAATATTGAAATGGTTTTGGTTTATTTTGGGGTCAATTTTGTTTGCTTTTGGGCGTTTTCTTCGAGACTGTTTTTCTTTCAACTTTCCCTTTGACTATATTTTTTGTTCGACGGTACGGTGCCCCCCCCCCCAATTCTTTTCGACTTGAACTTTTTTTTGAGGCAAATCGCCACACCCACTTTTGCTTCTGAATGGACGAGTGCTCCAGAAAACCACAAATCAAGCGCGACCTGACTTGCTTCCGTGTGAGCTGATGTTTGATGCCACCTCTTGACTGCGCTCACACACACGCACACACACACACACACACCTGCCGGTGGCCAATCTGATGCGGCCAACCTCTGGCTTGAACCCTTCCAAATGCCCCTCGCACGCACTTGGCAAGACGCGCGTATCGGTGCGGATGCGCGCGCGCATGCGCACCTCAGATCCTCCATCCGTTGGCACACTCATTAATTAGGACTTAATTTGGCTTAATGCCTCTTGCGGCGCGCGCACACACGCTCTCTGGTACGTGTGCATGCATGCGCTTCTTTGTGAATGTGTGTGACAGCGGTCAAAAATCCAAGCAGGTTTGGCTGGGGGGCACTCTGCAATAATTTCCCCTGACGGTGTTGACAGCGACACACTGCCCGAGTGGTAGCCCCGCAGCTATCGCGTCGATAAAAAGTGTTTGGTTGCGGCCGTGTTTATTTACAGGTGGGAGCGGGGGGGGGCTCGGAGGGGGAACAAGTGCTAAAAGCAGAGAGGAGGGGGAAAACAGGCACGCGCAACAAAAGTCACCACGGTGTTGTTCCAAAGCCTTCCGAGCAGATCGTCGCCTCGGCAATATGCTGACACGGCAGAAAAAAAATGCATGAAGGAATTTGTGTGCGTGCGACTCAAGCGGGCTGCACACACAACCACAATCAGGCCAAGTTTGCGCATTTTTCCACCCTGCAATACTTCCTCTGTATTGTCAAAAAATAAATAAATCCCTAAACAGACCACAGGCGACTCGAAACATCCTTTGAATTATCCTTGAAGCGACACACGCCCAATCGTACTCACGCATGTTCTTGTCATTTGCAAAAGCAAAAAGTTTTTGGAAGAAGCGGCGCCCCCCGGAGCTTCCGGGGCACATCGCGGCCGCGCGTGCGCGGCGGGCGCCCAGATGAAGCAGCCCTCGCGCCCCGAGGCCGTCGCGGCAAGCCTGTTCCTTCTTCCCGCGGCCCGCCGTCACCATTTGTTCCACGAAGCAATCTGCCGGAGCCGACAAGCGCTCGCACATGGGCCCGCCGCGCCGCCTCGCAGACGCCTCGCTGGCGGAGGCCAGATGGCCCGGTCGAGCCCGCGGATCCGCACGCACATCTGCGCATTTTCTCCACCCCGCGCCAGCCGTACGACGCTCGAGTCTCGCGGATAACCTCTGGGCTCGACGCGCGCGCGCGGACTCGAGGCTGGCGGGGCGGGGGGGTCAGAAGGAGACGAGGAAGAGGAGGACCAAGACCCGGCCAGATCTCATCACCAGGAAAACGGACACCAACGCCGAGTCGGCATCGACTTGGCTTGCATTTCGACTTCAGCTTGGTCAGGAATGCTTGGCTTTGGTGCGCGTGTGTGCGTGGAGAAAGAGAGGGGGGGGGCGTTGCCTTTTTAGTTTGACAAGAATCATTTTGAGTACCATCGAACCACAAAACGATGCAAGATTGTGCGTTTCTTTGTCACGCGACTGAGACAGATGTGTTGCAACCACGTTTGCCGCGTTGGTTTGTGGGCACCCTCGGCTGATCCTCCTCCTCCACGTAAACGACACAGAAATAGTCAAATACATCATGAAGTGTGCGTTTCAAAAAAAACAAAAGCCAACCCCCGGGTCGTTTGGCAGCCGGCTTGGCCCGGTAAAAATACATCAAGCTGATTTTCCAAATGTTTTGCTCTTCGCGGCACAGATTGCGGCGAGGGGCGGAGGAGGGGTTGCGTCGGGGATGAGGACGAGGCTCGCTCGCTGCCCGGCTCACCGGGCTTATTTGCGGGTTGCGCCCGGAAAGGCCTGGAGGCGGCACGGCGGGCGGGGAAATCGAAGACGGCGACGAGTGTGACATGCTGCGATCTTACACCTGGCCACGTCAGCGCCCAATGGCAACCCTTTGCGCGCACTTCCGCAACGCGTCGTCATCGGCGGGCCCCCCTCCCCCCCCCCGCCCCCAACCGTTTGCGCGCACTTCCGCAACGCGTCGTCATCGGCGGGCCTCCTTCCTCCCGTGAGCTCCTGAGGACGCAGCATCAGGAGCCGGGGAGAGGGGGAATGCTCTTAACGAGGTCGCAACGGCCGGGGATCGCCAGTCGGCGCCGGTCGCAAACAGCCCCTTGAGACAAAAACACAAACGTCGACGTTGTCGCCGAGGTCCACTCGGCCACCGATTCGTTGCTTCGCCGGCAATCGCAAATTTCCACCAAAGGGAGCCCAATTCATCTGCGCGCGGGATTCCAAACGAGGGCGGTCAGAGACGGCCCCGACCGCGAGCGACGTGAGGCGAAGCCTCAGCCGTCCGCAACTTTGACAGGAAATAGGAAGCCGTTCCCAAACATCGCCGCCGCCAACCCCTCCTCTATCGCCCCCCACAAAGACACGAGACAAAGTCTCGAGACGAAGACAAACGTCGACAAGCGCAGCAACTCGCGGGAGGGTCGTGTCAAAAGCGGCGGAAGGCGCCGGCCGGCTCGCAGGCCCGCCCGCGCCCAAAGGACGCAACCTTGCGCAACGAGCGGGCTGGTTTTGCCAGGCGCTGAAGTTTCGCTGGGCCGCGGGGTGACGGGTGGGCGGGAGGCCATATGCGTCCAGGTGAGGTCCCGCGGAGTGGGACGCCGCCGCCCACGCGCGCTCTGGGCCACGTGGGCGGACGCCGGCGACGTGCCAAGCGGCCAAAGCCCAATCTGGAGGCATCCGTCGCGTCGGCGTTTTCAGCCGAGCATGAACTTGGTCGGCTTTTTCTTCTTCCGATTTCAGCACCAGCGCGCGCGGTTTGGGCTCCCGGAAGCAGGGCGGCGGCGTTCCGGTGCATACCTGTTCTTCATGCTACGGTGCACTCGTCCATGCTGGACACACTGCTTCTCCATGTCGGAGCAGCGCGCCGTCGTCTTGTTCAGCGCGCCCCGAAGGTGCCGATTGGCCGCGGTCAGCCGCTCCACTTCCCGCCTACGTGCATCCGTGAAAACAAACCAACAAAAAAGAACATTTCAAGTCAACGAGCTGCCGTTGACGCAAACGCCGATTTCTTTTCGAGCCACTTTTCTTCCGTACAATTGGCTGACTCCATTCGCAGGAGTTGTACGCCGAGCTTTTTGTTGTGTGGAAAAATGAAACGCTTTTGCTCTGCTCAAAACTTTTCTTGTCATATGGGAGAGGTTTTTTTTCTCCCCCCCCCCCCCATCTTTTGTCGGTGAAAAAGTTTCCCCGTTAAATGTTGGTTCAATAGGTGACGAAGAAAGGCCATCCTCGGAGGCGGTTGGCCCGCGGATACGTCGTCCACTTGTTGAGCCAACATTTTGCGCGTCTTGCCGGGCGAGTTCCAACCAGAGCGTCGGGCATGAAATGCAAACGATCCGGTTCCGCGGGCACCGACGAATCGGCGACGAGACTTTTCCCGCTCTGGCCCGAGTCGTAAAAGGACGGCTTTCTATGCGGGGGGCAAAAAAGTGTGAGGTGCACATGAACCTCCGGGGCACCCGTAGTTCATTTTCTGCTTCAGCAGCACGGAGCGGAACTCAGCAGCCCCGGTCTCTGTCTCTCAGTCTGTGGGGGGGTGTGGGGGGGGGGGGCATATGTGTGAGTGCGTGTGTGTGTGTGCAATGTCATTGTTAGAAGTCCAGCAGGACTTTAACCGCTACACTTGGCTTGGACTCCAGGAGCTCAAACAGCCAGAGGCCAACACACACACACACACACACGCACACACACACACGCACAGTGTACGGCGGTGACCTGTGTCCGTGTGTGTGTGTGTGAGAGAGAGAGAAATGTCAGAAAAGAAAGTGCATTGGAGGCGTTTGATGAGTTTTGCGGCATTGCTGGGCACGCGCGCGTGCGCGCATACATGTGGCGTGGATTTGCGCGCGGCGGCTGGTGAGCGCGGCCAGCGCGGGCGGTCTGTCGGGGCCAGATGGGAGGCCGTCATGTGACTAATGCGCAGCGCAGCTCCAACAGCTGACGGGAGGCCGGGCCCAGGGTCACTGTCGTACACGGACTGGCGCGCGGGCGCCAACAACGACGGGCACGCTCCTTCGCGTGGCAGATGGAGAGGCAGGCGGGCCTGCTGTGACTACACTCGCATCAGGTTTCGCAGGAAAACAGGTTCGGCGGGAAGGGAGGGGGGGAAGGCGGAGCGCGCCCTGCGGCCGGCCGAGCCCGTCGCCGCCCGCACGAGAAATCCCACTCTGTGGCTTGACACGGCGGCTCGGCCTCTTTGCTCGCCGCGGCATATTTGGGTTGATCGGAGTCACTGTGTTTCGTGTGTGCGGAAGTGGAGGGAGGTGGGGGGGGCCAAGGGAGAAGCCCATTCGTTTTCCGCACAACATCTCTCGATATCGGGAGACGACCGAGACGGCCAAGTCAAAGGTTGCGCGGGCGAAAGTAGCACTTAGCGAATCGCCCGTGTATTCGCTTGTGTCTTGGAGCACCCCGAAAACGGTGGCGGCGCTTTCTGCCGACCCGTGCGCGACACTTGAAGAAGCATAAGGGACCGCCGGCGGGTTCCGGCACTCGCCCATCCCGAATGAGGACCAGGAATTTGCATGGCTCGTCTTTCTGTTTGTTTGTTTGGTTTTGGGGCTTTTTTTTGGGGGGGGGGTACGGCGGTGACCTTTTGTTCCCCGTCAGCTCCTCCAGGGTGGCTCCCAGCGTGCGGCACTCCTCCGTGAGCTTCTTGATGAGCGAATCCTGGGAAGACAGCAGTCCGTCCAGCTCGCCGACTGCCGCGCAAACAAACAAACACGCCCATGAAAGCGACGCCAAAGTGGAGGCAAAAGCGCATCTGTTTGCTAAAACGTGAGCGGGCGGTCTTTGGGGGCGGTCCGAGGGCAGGCTTTCATCCCCCCCCACCCGTCCTCCCTTCAAAAGCGGGCCCGCGCACTCCCCAACATCCGCTCGCTCTCATTGCAAAACTCGCAACGGCGCGCTTGGAGGGGGGCAAGGCCGCATCTTTGAATTTGAAAAAGCTCCGAGCGGAATCAAGGAAAACAAGCGTCGGGATGACAACAGAACTCCTCGGGCCAGCCCTCCCAAAATGTCACTCCAGAAAGAAATCTGGTGCCGCTCCATTTTCGAGGCCGGCAAATTTTCCGTCCTATCGTGGACGTTTTCTTTTCTCTTTCTTCTATCAGCAGGAGATTTGACCATGATTCTATTTCCCCTCCCAAAATGATTGTTTGCTCAATGGATTTTTTTTTCTCCTAAAACGTTCTTTTTGTGAAGTTATGAAAATGATTTTGTCCAAATAACCCCCCCCCCCCATTGAAAATGCTGACTTTTGTCTTGCAAAAATGTCCCCTTTTTTTTTTCCCTCCTGAGAACATCTTCATTGTGACGAGAGCGGTCCGTTTCTTTTCCTTCTTTTCTTCCTTTCCTCCGTCCGCGAAAGCCTTTGGCGGATTTCGGCATTCGCGTCGGACTTTCTCGCCTCGATTCGCGTCGAACGGCAACGGCGCCTTCTGTTCGACTTCCGTCGTCAAAACGCGGCAAAGGCAGCGAGTCTGTCCCGACGCTTGCCTAACTTCGACGGGCTTCATCTGGAGGGGGCGCGTGCGCGCACGCACGCACGGGCGCACGCTCGCACACACGGAGGAAAGTTTTGGCCAGAGTGTGAAAAAAGTTGCGCTGAAGAATGCTAATTAGGCGAGCAGGCTTTGAATGCGTCTGGCCGCGCGTAGGCCAAAAAGAACCCTGGGACACAGAAAGCCCGGCAGAACTGGCACTGGAAACAAACAACAGGCAAAGCCACACGGTGGGGGAGGGGGAGTCTGATGTCATCTCGACGCAGCTCTGTATGCACGTATTAAAAAAAAAATGGATGGATGGAGGGAGAGCAAAACAAAAAAAAAGCTCCCGATGGCGCTGGCGTGCGGGGGCGGCGAGAGGAAGCGACGCGAGCGGCAAAAGGACGTCCGCCATGCCCCCTCCCCGGGCGTTTGTTTCCCGCTGCGCTCTGATGTCAGCTCTCTTTAGACAACATGTGTGCCACCGCCACGTGCCAAGAAACAAAGCCTTTGTTTCGATGTGCTGTCGGGGGGAGGAGGTGGGGGGGCCTTCGGTAGCAAGTGGCGGCGGGCCTCCTCGTTGCAAAGGAAGGCGCGGGTCAAGAGGAGGAGTCGGACGACGGCCCGGATGTGGCGGCAGCGGCGGCTTGCGCGGCCGCTGGACGATTGTCTTCGGAACGGCAAATTGACGGCGGCCATTTTGCAAACATTTTCAACGCTACCCGTTTAGCATCATCTTTTTTAGAGGCGGTGGGGGGCTTCGCTATTCTTGTACCATTTTGATTGATGTTATTTTTGCGAACTCCACTTTTCCCCTTCGTAAAATGTCAGCAATCTTTCCTGCGAAGACGTCCTTTCCTTCTTGCGATGTCCGTGCCGCATTGCTCAGCTATTTGGATTTTGGCCTCACTTTTTTCTTTCCTCATCCACAATTTTTTGAGAGTACAACTTTTTATGACAATTTGCCGACGATCCCAAGTCAAACGCTCGCTTTCCTCTTCCCAAAATGGGGACTTTTCCATTGTGAAATGACAGTTGCGATTCTCTTGGGGAAATGAAAGCATTCCTCTCCAAAAATCACCGCGATAGACCGGTCTTCTTTTTTTGGGGGGCGTGGGGGGGGGGGGCCTTACAAACTCGGACCGTAAGGTCACCAAGAGGCAGCCAGCCGTGCGCGTCCGTATTAGGGAGGGAGGAAGATTTTTCAGCCCAAAGGTAATGGGTCCAACGCTCGCTCCCCGCCGGCCGCCCTCCATTCCTTGTCGCCAACGGCGCGGGTCGGGAAAAGGACGAGGAGGATCCAGATGGTCCGATGGCTGTCCGCGGCGGGCGCTTCGACCCGTTTCGGTCAGCTTCTGTGCCGCCGCGTCCGCTCCGGGGCGCCCCGCCGCTTCCGGTGCGCCGACCCTCGTTAGGCTCGCGGCGAACTCCGACTGATCCCGGCGTCCCCGCGTTCCAGTGGAACCCGGATCACCGGACCTCGAGGCGGGCGCGCGGGAGTCACTCACCTCTCTGCCGGTGCCGCGCCTCCGTCCGCCCCAGCGTCGCCGTCATCTCGGCCTCGCGCCGGCGCCCCGAGTGAGCCGCGCGGGCCATCTCTTCCCGGTGAGCCGCGGCCGCCGTCTCGCCGGCCTCTCTGGGTACGACGACACACAGACGAGCGCGCTCATGACACCGCGACGACTCCCGTTGGAACCCGGACGGCGAAACGCTGCGCGTAGCCAACAAAATGCACATTTAGGACGCGAGGTGGAAGCGCAGAGTCGCCATTCAAAGAAGACTTGAGCGGCGAAGGCCATTTTGGAGCAAGTTTCTTTCTTGGCGATGGGGGGGCCGCCGTTCCGTCAAGCGGATCAGCGTCGACTGGGTAAAAAGGATTCCTCGCAAACACATGGCAACCTATCACTGAACCGTGTCTCTCTTGATTTGATTTAAAAAAAAAATTTTTGGGTGGGGAGGGGGGGCCTTAACCTTGTAACACATTTTTTAAAGTGCTCCATAAATAAAATGTATTATGAAGACGATGATCCTTACGATTGAATTCATCCCTCCGATCGCACGGATACGACCGACGGCGCGGGAACAAAAAAGCCCCAAAAGAACCCCCCCGCAAAAAAAACCAAGCGTTGTGCATCCGAAAGCAAACTTTCCGACACAAGCAAGTCCAGCCGCGTGCCAACAACAGACGCGCACAAAAGACCAGAAGAACGGGAAAAACTACAAAGACGGGGAGAGAGCGCGAGCGGTGACAAATAAACACGACTCTTCCTGAAGTCCAAAGAGGCGCTAATGAAGAGAGAATTCTCCAGTTCAAGTGAAAACTTTTCTCCCCTGCAGTGCTTGGCCCGCATCTCTAAAGTGACCGCGTCTGTCTGTTCCATCCTGCCCGCGCCCGCGCGCGCGCGCGCGTGTTCTCCTGCTGTCCTGCTGTCTGGGGTGCGAAAGCGGGTGGCGTCGCCGCGCAGGGGACGCGGGGATCCTGCGCGCGCGCGAGTGGGTGAGCGGAACACCCGCTGGGTTTGAACAGCAGCCTGAGCCACCGAAGCGCACACCGGGGCTCAGCGGGAGATGGCGGACGGGCGCCGCCAGCCATTTGGTCCCGCAAGAGGTTCCAGGCGGGGGGGCGGCGGGGGGG